ATGAGGAAGAAGGGGCTACAGGGAGGACGCACCCTCCTAGGGTATACTCCCAGTGACCTACCTTCTCTGGCCATGCCCCACCTGCCTGTAGTTATCAGTCAGTCCATTCAAACTAGTAGGGACTGATTATGTTACAGCTTTCACAATCATTTTATCTCAGAATATTCTTGTACTAAGAGAAGCTTTTGGGGGACACCTTATACCCAAACCATAACAGATGGCAAGCGGGGGTAAATAAGAAATTTGTTGTGGATGTCATCTTTAGAATGAGGGGTAAGAGTCAGCGACAGAGAAGGTTTCAGGGCCTGTTGGGCAGAGCAAGGCCTCAGGAAGTGAGATGAGCTGGAATTTGGAGCATGGTTGAATCTTGGCTGGAGGAGCAAGTGCCTGTTTTTTTTTTTTTTCTTTTTAAAATATCTTTATTTTGTTTATTTATTTTTATGTGGTGCTGAGGATGGAATCCAGCAAGTGCTCTGCCACTGAGCCACAACCACAGCCCAAGTGCCTGTTTTTTTGAAAGGAGATACTTGCAGGAAGAGATGCTGATAAAGCTCTGTGTCTGTTTGGAAAGGGAAGTCATTATTTCCCACTGGGCAACCTGGGAAAGTGTGCAGACATTTGAATCCTGCTGAGATTTAGGTAGGCTAGAAAAGAAATAAAAGATGGTTAGAGAGGAGACAAAAGGAAGGATAAGGAAATTTAACTTTAGTCTATGAGTCTTGTTCCATAGAGTTCCTCCTACCTTCCTGAGAACTTTCTACRTCAGTTCTCTTTCCCATTTTCAAATATCTAGGAAATCTGTAAATCTTAGAGTAACCATAAATTCACACACTTATGAAAATTACCTTGTGCACTATTAGTTAGACCACATAATAAATAGATGAAGCAGCCAGGCATAGTGGTGCCTGCCTGTAATCCCAGTAGCTCAGGAGGCTGAGGCAGGAGGACCATGAGTTCAAGCCAGCCTCAGCAAAAGTGAGGCACTGGGCTGAGGATGTGGCTCAAGCGGTAGCACGTTCGCCTGGCATGCGTGCGGCCCGGGTTCGATCCTCAGCACCACATACAAACAAAGATGTTGTGTCCACCGAAAACTAAAAAATAAATATTAAAAAATTTCTCTCTCTCTCTCTCTCTTTAAAAAAAAAAAAAGTGAGGCACTAAGCAACTCAGTGAGACCCTGTCTCTAAATAAAATACAAAATAGAGCTGGGGATGTGATTCAGTGGTCTAGTGCCCCTGAGTTCATCCTCGGTACCAAAAATATAAATAAATGAAAATAAATAAATAAATAGATGAAACAAAGACATGATGTTATAAGAAACTTATAATCTATTCCAACATTATCTATTAATGGAGAAGACATCAACCTAAGGATCCTGAGAATTGACAAACCACCAGAAATATCACCTGATTGATAATCTTCACATACTTTCTATGCTCACCACCAAGTTTCCTTTAAAATAAAAGTTTGAGAACCTCAAAAGCATCTTTCTCGAGGTGGCCTGCATTCTCCCCTGAATGTGTGTCTCTACTCCCTAAATAAATCTGTGTCTCTAACTTAAGTGTCCTTAAATTAATTTCTGTGATGTTCACCAAGAATTCTTTACACCTCCTCTGGTGATAAGATGGTGGTTGGATTTGGAAAGAAGCAAGGGTGGGGAAGGGTAGTCCAAGCAATGCAAAGAAACAGGAGTTCAGGGGGCATTTAAAGGTAACAATAGAGGCCTTCGGTTGACTGAGGTCGAGCTGCAGATGAGATCAGTAAATGCAGACCAGAGTAAGTGGTGGTACGGTTAGGAGTGCTGGTTTCAGATGATGCATGAGGTTCAAATCCCAGTTCCCATTTACTTATTTGCCATTGTGTTGAAGAAGTTCCTTGACATGTTCCACCTCTGTAAAATGGCGGTAACTCTAAGAGGGTTAGGAGAGGACTAGATAACTCCTCCCAGAGCTTAGTCCAGTGAGAGGTAGCTAATGAGCCCCCATAAACCAGTGCTGTCATTAATGAAAAATCATCGGAGATTAACTGGGCCACATGGTGCGAGGGGACTGAGCTGGGAAAGGCCCTCTGGGAAAGAACACAGTAGTAACTCAGGAAACATCGAACCGCCTTCTCTGCTAGTCATCAGGCATACAAGAGAAATATTCTGCCTTTCCTGGTTTCACAGTGCCCAGGTGACTAGTCAGGTAAGTGCCAAAGTTGGGAGGAAAATGGATGAAGGCATAGATTCTTCAGCAGAGCTTCTCCTAACTGTTCTTGCTGTAGTCCTTCAGAGCGAGGCGGGGCAGCAGGGTGCGGGTGGGCTGCCAGGGTTCCACAAGATTTTGTGAATCCCCGTAGGGCCGGGAAAGGCGCACAGGTGCACCACTAACTAGGGCGCTCACCTGTGCTCAASTGGGTGGAGCTAAACCGGAGCGCGGGGCGGGGCGGGCGTGCTGACGTCACGAGCACGCCGCCTCAGATCGCCTCGCGTCCCGGAAGCAGCGGAGGCAGCAGTGGCGGCGGCGGAGGTTCTTGGACCCGCGGCTTCAGAACAGCCCTAGGAGGAGGCGCGACGTCGGGGCGGGGCGGGCCTGAGGAAACGCTCCGGGGCCCAGGGCCTTCCCGGTGCCCCCTGCCTGGTTCTGCCCCTTCCCTTACTACGCCAGCGTCCGGGTAGGTGAGATGCCCTCACGCCCAGCCTTGGTGCGTCCGCCGATTGCGGACTTGGGCGCCTGGACCCTGCGGGGTCTACCACCTGCTGGCCCAGCGACCTTGGGTGTGGCCTCCTCTGCTAGGCCTAAGGAGCCCCCATCAGGCCTCTGGCACTGGAGAGTGGCAGTCTAGGCCTCTGCCCGCGCTGACCTGCCCCAGCCTTCCTAGGCTCCTATCTTATGCCTGCCTTGGGTTCTTGACTCGGCCCACTGGGATTTCAGGCTCTTGGTGGCCCCTTTGTCACTTCCTCTCCTTAGGTCGCAGCGCSTTGCTTGGGACTGGTTTATGTCGCTGCTGGTTTGGAGATTGTTCCCCATTTGCTGTTTAGTGCTCTGGATAGGACTTTTAAATTAGGAAAGAACACGAAGGTTCTTTGTGACTCTTTCAGAAAGAGGATCTGGGAATGGGGCCTTGAAGGTGACCACTGCCCCTAGGGATGGTCCACGAGGTTGATGGGTAGAGGGAGAGGAATGAATGGTTAGAGGATGGGTGCCGGCAGGAGAGAACACAGTCGCGCTGGAGGAAAGTAGTTCATTTACTCGTTCGCAAGCAGTTATTAGGTTTGAATACAGAAACTGATGAGTGTAGGACAGCCAAAGTTAAGAGGGGAGACTGGCAGAAAAGTAGGGAGTTTTACTTTGAAGTTAAGTGTTTTGTTAGTTATGACCCTATTTATTGCCTCAGACCTGGCTGGGGCTGTCTGCAAAAAACGTCCTGGAGCAAAGGAGTGGCTGTTTAGGCTTCCCCCTGAAGCAGAGTAGGAATTGACCAGGTAAAGAGTGGGCGAAAAATATTCCACGACACTTCTCCTGAGAGCACAGACTGCCTTTCCCCAGAAACCATGTGTGCCTGATCATTATGGGGATTATTTATTCTGAGTATTGAACCCAGGGGTGCTATACCATTGAGTACATTCCCATTCCTTTGAATTTTTATTTTGAGACACAGTTTCACTAAGTTGCTGAGGGTTTAGCTAAGTTGCTTAGGCTGGCCTCAAACTTGCAGTCTCCTGCTTCAGCCTCCTGAGTCACTGAGATTAGAGGCATGCGCTGCCACTGTGCCCAGCATGGCTTATTTTGATGAGTCTGTGGAGAAGAGCATTGAATGGATTTTGAAGAAGAGGATTTTATGTCTGAGTAATTCACTTCACCTTGATAAACTTCAGTTTTCTTCTCTGTGAAATGGGTATTTCACATGTAGCCCACTTAACTTGCCCACTTTTATTATCAGTGTCTCACGAAATAATGCAAGAAGTGTGTTGGGAACTGGGAGTGCATTACAAATGTTGGGAATAATTATTATGGTTACAGGATGCAGACATCAGAGGGGAGTGGGCCAGAGGTGAGCCCC